TACTACGGCCACCTACACGGAGGGGTCGACGAAGGTGCGCGGAAGAGGCGCAAGGCAGCCAGCTCGGGCGCGCGCCACGCGCCGGGCAGCGAGGGCGGCGCGGCGAGGGCGGGCTTCGGGCAGAGTGCGGGCGGGAGCTCGATGTACGACGCGATGGTGTCGCAGGTGACGAGGGCGAGCCGCAGCAGCACCACCTCGACCAGCCCGAAGGCGAGGGGCCGGTTCCGCTCCGCCAGCCGGTGCAGCGCCTACAAGGCGCTCGGACTGAGGTCCCTGGACGGTTCCGAGAAGGTTCCGCTCCGCCGGCCGGCGCAGCGCCTCGGTCGGGATCTCAAGCAGACTGGCGCTGCTCGAGGCGGCGAGTACGCCCGGCGCGGCGGCGGCGGAGGCGGCGGAGGCGGAGCGGAACGGGAGCGCGGGCACGAATCCGGCGACCGGCGTGGTGAGCGCGTGGAGCAGGTCGAGGAAAGAGGAGCAGCGGCTGCCTGCTCGGAACGTGCGGAGCGGGGCCGCCTCCGCCGACGGCGCCGCCTCGTCCTGCGGCCCGCTGGCGGCGGCGAGGCCGGCGGCGATCGCGTCGACGACGTTTCCGCCGCTGCCGCCGCTCTCGGCCGCTGCGGAGATGCCGGCGGAGATGCGGTGAGATATGCCGAGATGTGGGGAGATGGGGGGAGATGGGGGGAGATGGGGGGAGATGTGGGGAGATGTGGGGACCTGCGGAGATGCCAGCGGAGATGCGCGCCTGCAGGAAAGTTCCAGGAAAGGTCCAGGAAAGGTCTAGGAAAGGGCTGCGGAGATGCCAGCGGCGATGCGCGCCCCCAGGTCCTTGCGCTCCTCTCTGCCGCAGCGGAAGTACTCTTCCTCGGTCCGCCAGAGAGACACCTCGCCTAGAAAGGGCCGTCGAGGGCTAGAAGGCGCCTCTCCTCGCTCCGCAAGAGAGACGCCTCCCTCGCCTTGCAGCACGACGACAAAGGCCGGCGCGCTGCCCGCCTAGTGTCTTGTGAGAGTGTGTGTCTGTGTGTTGCTCCGGCGTGCCGCCATCTCCTGTCCAGCGTCCTCCCATACCGCGCCGGTGCCGAGTCCGATCCTCTGGCTGCTCTTCACCTTCCTAACTAATACTCACTGCCGACCTGGTGCGGAGAGCGGAGCCGGTCGCCACGCTGGTACTTGCGCACCGTCGCCAGCGCGGCGAGCGCGGCGAGGTGCTGCCCGTCCAGCTGCGAGAGCACCTCCACTGAGGAGAGAACCCTCGCCCAGTGCGCTTCGAGCCCGTCCGCCGGCGTGCGGGGCTCGGCGGCGGCGGCGGCGGCGGCGGCTTCTGCGGCGGCGGCGGCGGCGGACCGCACGCCGCCGCCGCCGCCGCTGCCCGCCCCAGAGGAGGAGGAGCCCACCGCCGCAGCGCCGCCGGCAGAGGATACACCGTCCGCGGCAGCGAGGTCCGGCGAGAGGTCAGCCGGGCCGCTGGCGTGAGGGTGGCGGGGCACCTCGAGGTGGGTGAGGCCGCCGCCCTGCTCGTCGTTGCGGATGATGCGGTTCGTCCGCGACCGCCGCTTCAGGTCCTCGCGCAGCTTCTCGGGATGGCGAGCCACATCGAGCATCAGCATGCCTCGCCGGAGCAAGCGCATCCTGGGAGTGGCCAGCATCGCGTCGGCGCGGTCGTGGTCGTCGGGCCGGTGCTCGGGCGCATTCTGAGTCGTGACGTCCGCGGCGAAGGCAAACAGGGCGTAGCAAGCCGCGAGCAGCACGCAGAGGCACGCACAGAGCACGACCGACGGCCTCTCACGAGCGGCGTCGGCGAGCGACCGCAGCTGAGCGAGGGCACTTTCGCTGGAGAGTCCAAAGACGCTGCCGAGGATGGCGAGGCAGACGAGAGTGGAGAGAGGGGCGGAGCGCATTTGTATAGAGGGTCGAAGGTGAGAAACCCGACGCTTAGGTAGAGACGCTTTGCGGGGCCGCGAAAGCCGATGGGAGAGTCGGGCCTCCTGGGTTGGTGGAAGAAAAGCTGCCGGACGCACTGGGAGACCCGTGTTATGGCCCTGCGACCGCGCACCCCCCAGGGCTAGGGCTCTCTTGCCCGCAACCCGATCCCAATCGTACCGCCTTGCGTTTGTTTCATCTAACATCGAAGGCTAAGCTCAGAAAAAATCTATCACCAATTTTTTGGGGGCTTCCAGGAGCCTTCGCCAACTAAAAAACACAGCACCGATGACGACTTAGTGTGGGGAGGGTCGGCGAGCACTCACTCACTAGGTTTTCCCCTACCCCCCCCCCTTTCACTTTAGATGTGTCGGACCATACATCGTAGGACGGCACCTCATCGGCGCGCAGAGACACGGGCGGGGTGCCCGTCTTGATGACGCCGAGAGCGGCCGCGGACCCACTCAGGTTTTGGGCGTTTGCGAGGACGACAGTGAGGCACATCAGCGCATAGATTCGCTCCTCGTCACACATCCGTTTGTCGCTCACGACGGATGTCAGGTCGGTGACAATCTGCGACCAGATGGGGCACTGCCGCACCCGGCTAGCAGCCTCCTCATCCAACATATCGAAGAGGCAGGGACAAGTCTTCTTCCCAAGCTCGAACTCATCTGCTGTCACGAGGCAGATAGACTGTTCAGTGGAGATCCTGTTCTTTGTGTTGCCACCAGAGTTCCTCCGGAAGCCACTTGCATCCACGACCGCGTGGGCGTCGTCGGGCTTGAGCAGGGTCTGCAAGAAAATCTTCTCCGGCTGGTCGTCGTGCCAAAGTGGCGACGTGTTCATGGGCATCGCCGCCTGTAGCAAGTTCGCCTCCTTGCGGTTTGCCTCCGTGCCGTGCATGCGTTTCTCCGCTTCCAGCTGGAGCGTGCGGAGAGTGGCCCACTGCACCGCACACAGCCGAGAGAACTTCACCCACAGCCGCGACGTCGTGGGGGCATCAAAGTACGGTTTGAAGCAAAAGTCGCTGACTCCTATGCAGGCCAGAGCGAACTGAGTGCTGGAGCTGAGTAGGTTGAAGACTGGGTAGCTCTCTCCCCTCGCCGCGATCTTTGCCCACTCCCGAATTTTCGTGAGAATGTCCTCGACAAAGACGTAGTCTGCACCAGTGCTGTCGGGACGGCAATCGTCGCGGCCGACATTGTACATCGTCGACTCCCAAGTGCGGCGCTGCTGCTCAGTCAACTCTGTGGACGCACCCTGGTCACGACACTGCTTTTCGATGGCACGCTGCTGCGCAAAGTACTCGTCGGCATCGAGCTGCATTCGCGCCATCTCAGCAGTTGCCTCCATGCCCGCTCCACCGCCGACAGCATCGAGGGCACCATCTCCTTCCGGGAGGGCATGCTCGTCTTCGGAGAGGGCATAAGTGCCGGCGGCATCTGAGGCGGCATCTGATGCACAAGTGACTTTGGCACCGGTGACGGCGGCATCTCCATCAATGGTGGTGACGGCGGCATCTCCATCAATGGTGCCTGCACCCGCGCGATGAGAGGCGGCGCGATTGAAGGCGAGCTCGGCGGGGGCAGAGATGGTGGCGGCGTGGGCGCGATCGAAGGCGAGCTCGGCGGAGGCAGAGGTGGTGGTGGTGGTGGTGGTGGTGGAGGTGGTGCCGCCCGCGGCAGCGGGCCTGCAACGAGCATCACTTGCAGAGGGAAGGGGGAACTTGGGAGCAGTGGCGGGTAGGGCGGCGGGTAGGGCGGGGGCGGAGCAGTCGGGGGCGGGGAAGCTGGCGGCGGAGATGGCGTTGGCGATGGTGCTGATGCTGAAGGGGATTGGGGGCGCACGACTCGAGGTCAAGACGTCAATGGAGAGTTCCTTCTTGGTGACGAAGGCGTTTTGCGAGCGGCGGCTTCCTTCCTTCGGCGGGCCGGCTCGGTTGCTGTAGACAGCCCACATATCGGCACGTAATCCACGGACAACAGCGTCTGCTTCTGGCGACGCGCTCGGGTCAAAGTCTGGCATGGCCTTTTCGTTGGGCCGACGTACGTGCTCGACCCAGGCATTCTGGGCCTTTATCCAGTCTTCCAGTCGGCCTCGGAAGTCCTTCCTCTCGGGACGCTTCATCGTGGCAGCGTTAGGTGCACTGGCAAATGCGAGCAAGCAGTGGAGTGTCAATGGCAGCATCTGGGGCGGCCGCCACCGAACACGTAACGGAACACGTCGGACTATTGTGGCTTCTACGGCTTTATTACGCGAGCCCCGACCTTGCGCAAATCTGAACCTAAATTGGAGAAAACACTGGGCGGGCCAGCACCGTTTCGGCCTCCGCCGCCGTTTTCGCGCGCGTTTCGCGACTTCTTCTTCAGCGCGCCTTCTTAGTTCTTTCTGCTTTCTTTGTCGTGTCAACAAACGAAACGAAACGAAGAAAAAGAAACGAGGCACATTGTGCGCGAGGGGTGTGTGTGTGTGTGTGTCGTGTCAACGAACGAAAACGAAGAGAGAGAAAGGAGGCAGATTGTGCGCGAGGTGTGTGTGTGTGTGTGTGTGTGTGTGTGTGTGTGTGTGTGCGTGTGTGTGTGTGTGTGTGTGTGTGTGTGTGTGTGTGTGTGTGTACTCAACGCTCAAGGAGGAGGTCGAGGGCGGCGTTGAGGCGCACGCAGGGGCTGCCGCTGCAGCGTGCGAGTGCCACCCGCGCTTGCTCGCGGGGGTAGCCGCAGGCTGCGAGGTTCTCCACGAGGGCTCCCTCGCCGCCGAGGTGGTTGGGCGGCGTGAGGACGGGCCCCTGAGTCAGCCCCTCGCCGCCGAGGTGGTGGGGTGGCGTGTGGACGGGCCCCTGAGGCAGCGCCTCCTTGCGCGGCGGAGACGTGGGGCCCCTCTCGCGCTGCTTCCTCTTCTTCTCTTTTCTCTTCTCTTCCGCGCGATCCTGGGCCGCTGAGCGCGGCTTCCGCTGCTTCCCAAGGGTCGGGCAAGTGCGCACGTCGTGGCCAGCCGTCTTGCAGACGGAGCAGTGCGGTGCACGCGAAGTCCCGCCACCACTGGCCGTGCGCATGCCATCGCGGGGCACTGGCGGAGGCAGAAGATCGACAGGTACTCCATATGCGGCGGCTCGCGCTGCCTCACGGGCGGCTAGCGCTGCGGCACGCCCCGGAGCCGTTTCAACGCTACGTTGGTTTGCGTCGAGTTTGTCCCAGCGTAGGTGGGCGCGGCATCTCTGCCGCTCCGAGAAGTTGTACGGGTCCGCAAATGGCTCCTGCCAAGTCGACAGCTGCTCTCGAAACACCTGAAGAAACAGGGGGGGTCTTGGCTAATCTCGGCTAAATCTCGAGCTGGGCTGCTTCTCCATAAAGTAGCACACGCACCGGGCACTTGTGCACCATCTCGCGCCACGCTCCCCGGACGTGGAGGTCGACGTCCGCCTCGACAATCTGGTCGACCATCTTGTGGTAGAGGTCGGAGGAGACGACCGTGCCAGCCTGCTCGTTGACCTTCTTGAAGTAGGCCGTGTACGCCTGCGCGTTGAAGGAGGCCTCTCCCTTGTTGCGGATGATGTCGACCGCGGCGCAGAAGACGTGCGAGAGGGAGAGGAGCTTGAAGAGCTCCGGCGCGACTGTTGGAGCAGTGGCGAAAACGTGGGGGGGGGGGCTCAGTGAGGGGGGGGGAGAGGAATAAAGTGGAGGGCAGGAAGGGAGGGGGGGGGGGGGGGGGCGCACAGGAGTTGGGGGACGGGTGCAGCGCATGGTGCACATGCTGGAAGCCGAGGCCCTCAAAGCAGGGCTGCTCGGGGAACTCGTTTGCCACCGCCTGTGGTTTGCCCCCCCCAATAAAGTAATAATGCAAGAGGGTATCGTGAGGGAGCGGGGCTGGCGGGGCCCGGGCGTACTCCGACGGCAACGAAGACGTCGGGCTCGAGCAGCCCCCACTTCAGCAGGAGCTTGATGAACTTGGCGTTCCACGCGTCGCCATCCTTCTTCTGCTTGGCCGTGAGAGCCTTGGAGGGCCATGGCTCGACCACGCGGTCGAGGAAGACCATCTTCTTGCCGAGGAGCTCGAGGTACTCCCCGCTCGCGAGGCGCATGGTGCGGAAGGTCGGAATGGTGCACGTAGAGCTGCGCGGCAAACGATACGGGCGGTCGGGCGGTCAGCGCACAGGAGCAAGAGAGGCTAAGGATGGTGGGGTGAGCGGGAGCGGCGCGAGAAACCTCTGCCACTTGCGCTGGTCGAGCGGCTTGGCGGTGCGGGAGTTTCGCTCGAAGATATGGTGAGCCTCTGGATTTTGGCACATGAGCGCTCCGCAGAAGCCGTGCTCCTTGTAGGCAAGCGCGGTGCCGCCGGCCGAGGCGATATCGTACGCCTTGACGTGGACGTCGTTCGCCTCAAAGTAGGCGGCGGCGACGACCTCATCGCCGCCCGGGAAGCCGTCCTGGAGGAGCGTCGCCTCCTCCCAGAACTCGGCGATCGTATCCGGGCAGAGACGTCGAAAGGCACTCATCGCGGCAACAGAGGCAGAGGCCGTTGCTGAAGGGAGCGAGCGGCGACAATAAATTGTTTTATTCCAGGTGAGGGGTGACGATTGCTGGTGAGCGCCAGCGCGCCCCAAGAACGGTGGGGTGCCCTCGACCGCGCGTCCAAGTCACTTGGGCGGACGAGCGAGCGGCACATGGCCTGACAAAGAAATCGGAGTGCGGCGACGAGATCGAAATCTGGTTGGCGACAAATACGTTGTTTAGTCTGAGACTGCCTCAGAAGGTAGGTCAATCAGAAGCACAGATCTGACGGCAGTCTGTGCGCGCACTCTGTGCGCGTCGCCAGCACCTCCTTCTCTCCTCGTCGAACCCACCACCATCTCCCCTTTCTCCTCCTACCTATCTGTCTAGTGTGTGCCTACTGGGGGAGCAGACGGCTGAAGCTGCCCCCAGCAGGCGTCTTGACGGGTATCAAAAATTCTTCCCTACAAAAGAGGCCAACGGACCCGAGAAGTATTCGGCGCGGCTTTCTCATAGTTTGGGCCCCGGCCTTTGCTTTTCGTCTTTCTTCTCGCGTATGAACCTCTTCTTGTTCTTGCACTGTTGCCCTGTGGGATAGGCTCGATCCCGCATGGTACGGGACCCCTCGATTGTATCGTCCTCCCTCACAGACGCGCTCCTCCCCACTGAGCTCCTTCCTACAGCCTCTGAGCGCAGTGGAGCACTGTTCCACGCATTTAAAGTGGTGTCCACAGCCGATTCTATACGTATAAAACAAACGAGATCGTACAGAGTTCACGTAAGGCGACTAGAGACACTCTTCAGACAGGACGAGAGCACAAGCCGGTGCCGGATCTCAAGAACAAAGGCAGCGAAAGCCTCCATAAATTATTGCCGAGCTCAAATCGGTGAGGGGCAGAGGGGTGCTACGGGCTGGCCCGGCAGGCGTCACCACGAGTAAATCAAAAGCCGCCTTGACTTCAGGCGAGCTAGGCCCGATCTTCGTGTCGCGACTTAGTGTGTCGACCGGGAGGCCCGTGCGCGGCGCACAGTCGCCTTCTTCGGCCCGCTGCGCGCCTGAGGAGTTTGGGGGAGGTGAGGCGGGCTGAGGAGCGGCTGGATATGGGGGCCGCGTGTGGAGAGAGAGAGAGGGAGAGAGAGAGAGAGAGAGGGAGAGAGAGAGAGAGAGAGAGAAGAGAGAAGAGAGAAGAGAGGGAGAGAGAGAGGGAGAGAGAGAGGGAGAGAGGGAGAGAGGGAGAGAGAGAGGGAGAGAGGGAGAGAGGGAGAGAGGGAGGGGAGGGGCGGAGAGAGGGAGAGAGAGAGGGAGAGAGGGAGAGAGGGAGAGAGGGAGGGGAGGGGCGAGGGGCGAGGGGCGAGGGGGGAAGTGAGAGCGAGAGCGAGAGAGGGGAGAAAGAGCGAGAGAGAGGAGAGGAGAGAGGGAGAGAGAGGGAGAGGGGGGGGGGGGGGTCTAGACGTGGGGCTGGGGGGGGGTGGTGGTGCGGAGCGGAGCGCGGGAAAATCAGGGCACCTGCGAGTTGGCCGGCCGTGCCTTGGCCGCGCTGCGGATCTTCTCGAGCTGCTGCCAAGGCGTTCCTGGAATGTTGGCTCGCCGACCCACCAGGTGCCGGAACGGGCTCATCTTGAGGCCTCCGAGCCCGTTCATGTGGCCGGGGTGTGCCCTCTTGAACAGCTGCGCGAGCGCCGTCGGAGAGAGCTGGCGCGGCCCGCCGACCGCGTCCACGAACGTGATGGCGCCCTCCTTGGACAGGAACACCTCCCCGTGAGAGAGTGAAAATATCTTGGTCTGTTTGCGACAAGCCCGCAGCGCGTCGTAGCCGGCGCACAGGAAGCCCGAGTTGATCATGAGGGCTAGGTCCGTGTTGACCCTCTCTCGCTCCCCGGCGGCGCGAACGATCGTGGCCGTGCCATCGGGTGCCCGCCTCCCAGCGGTGTCCTGTGAGGGAGAGGGGCGCGTGTGGCGCGAGCACGCCACTGAGCGGGTCGCGACACGCAGGGAAGGGAAGGTGTCGTACCGGAACCCGAGACGACGCCGAGTATGCCCTCCCGCCGCCGCGAAGGCGGCGCTCCGCGCGGTGCTCGGCAACCAGAGCTTCGAGCGCTCCGTGGTGGATCTCAAAGCTCCTCCCGCGCATCTCGCTTACGAACGCAGCCGTCTCTGCGGGCGACAGGTCGGCGACGGACACCACGCCGCGCGCCGCGAGATATTGAGCGGCGTGTGCCTCGGCACTGCTGTCGTACTCGCCCAGGGTGGGCAGGAACCCGCAAGGCCTCAGCATCGCAGCGAATCTGCGTCACGGCGGTGCCAAAAAAGTAAGCACACCCCACTCTGCGGAGCAGGCCGAGGAGTGGGTCAGCGAGTGCACGCACTGCTCGATGGCGGTCAAGCTGACGCACGATGGTTCGCAGCTCTACATCGGGCACAACACGTGGCGCGGCCAATACCACATGATGCTGCGCGTGCACAAGCGCTATGAATTTACACATCGGTACGAAAGGACCCCCTGAAGCGAAACTGCAAGCAGCGTCTCCTGCTGCTGGCACGCCTGCGACAGCGCGTCCTTGACCTTGCGTGGGCGTGGGATAGCTGGGACCTGCTGGTGAGCGTCGATATGGACTTTGTGGCGTTCGATCAGTCGCGCTTCCTCAAGATGATTGCAGTCGGCCGTCTGCTGCACGTCACGGCCATCTTTGGCATGTCCGTGCACAATGGGTCTCAGGGAAGAACGTTATATTACGATCTCGACGCCATATGGCCACCAATGGCCGAGCAGGGGACTCTAGGGGTTGCTGGCTGGGGTGGGAGCGGTTGCCTAACGCCAGTGCGCTCAGCCTTCGGCGGCTTTGGAGTGTATTACGCAGAAGCACTTCGGACTGCCGCACCCAAGTACGAGGGAACGGCTGGTTGGCTCGGCAGCCACAAGACTGAGCACGGTCCGTTCAACTTTCAGCTCGATGCCGCTGCTAGAAATGTCAATGTGCAGGGAGGGGTTGGGAGGGGCTTGCTCCTGGTCGACCCGTCCTTCAGGCCTGTTTACAGGTGGGGAGGGAGCTGGCGTCACTAAACAGAAAGAAGCCAGGACTAGTCCGATTGCACACCCACAAAGAACCCTGCACAAAGACCGCACGGGCGGGGACCTGTTCCTTTTTACCCATCTCACAGTAGAGGTGTCCGTTTTTATTTATTTATTTATTTGCAGATGCAGTCAGATGGAGCATGCTCCGACACCGCGACACGCACACTTCGCACACGATTTCATGACCTCGCCATGCGGCTCTTTGACATCCACCTCGCGGCCCGCTGCGCGGCTCCTCGAGCGCGAGATGTGTCGTCTACGAGGCGGCGGCGAGCGCAGGCGGCGGCGGCGCGGCGGCGCGGCGGCGGATCGCGGCGCTGACAACGGCAGCAATCTGCGGCAGGCTGCTGCTGGCTGCTGCAGCAGCTGCTGCTGCTGCTGCTGCTCCGCTGCTGCTGATTGTGGCTACGATTTCTCCGATCACCCCGCCCGCCCGCTCCGCCCCGCCCGCCCGCCTCTCCCCGCTTGCCCGCCCGCCCGCCCGCCCGCCCGCCCGCCCGACCACCCATTCCCATCACCATCTCACATACCTTCATATAGGCGCTCGAGACCTCCTCTCGCTGCCTACTCGCTGCCTCGAGGGAGGAGGGGAAGACGTAGGGTTGAGCTGGATTCGCCTTTCCTGAGGCCCCTCCCCGAAAGGCAAGTCTTAGCCTCACGAAACCCGAGACCCCTCCCCGAGACCCCTCCCCACCACCCCAATCCCCCCACCCCCTTGCTCCCCTGTGGCGCAGCCCCCCCGTGTTGCTGCGAGTCGGGATTTTCTTTTCTTGCACAGCTAGAATTCTTTTCTGTGTTAGTGCCAGTGCGCGCCAGTCCCGTGCCCAGTGTTGAAGAAAGAAAACGGACCGCCCAAGGGAGGGATGGGAGGACGGCACGCCGCCACCACACAGGGGATTTAAACCCAGACGAGGGATGGGGGAGGAGGACAGGGTCCCCACCTGCACGAGCAGGATTTCACCATTTTGGCTCGCCAACAAGCCCTCGAGTTGTATAATACTTTTTTGCTGAAGCTCTCCCCATTGGGACGTCGACTCTCAGGCAGACACGCGAGCAACGCGGGCGGTCATGAGCCAGTACACGGGCAAGGCGGTCGCCGCCGCCGGCCGCTCGGATCACTTCTTGGCGCAGCAGGCGGCCGCCGAGCGCGACTCGGAGGACGTGGCGCCGGCGGGAGCTGCGGCTCGCAAGGCCGCGGCGGAGCTGCGAGCGCAGCTGCTGGGGCCCGTCTCCCGCACCGGCGCCGAGCCGACGACACTGCTGACCGGCTACACGCCAATGCCGATCGGCAACAGCTCGGCAGCGGCAACGGCTCCAGCAACGACTGAGCCTGCGCCAGCAGCCAGCCGGCCAAAGGCGGCGATGTCCAAGGCCGAGCGCCGAAGGCAAAAGAAGGGCCCGGCTCAGCAGCAGCACGAGCAGGCGCTTGCCGCTCCGCCAGAGGCCGCGCCGAAGAAGAAGAAGCGCAGGCGCGACATCCCGCCACAGCCGGAGGAGTCGTCGGCCCTCGACGCTGTGGACCTCTTTGCCACCGCTCTGCCTTCGGTCCTGGGCAGCGGCGACGCCGCTCCCTCCGCCGCTCCGCCTGGGGCGGCGAAGAGGAAGAAGGAGCGCGCCGCCTCTGCGGTGGACGCGTCCGAGATGGACGGCATCTTTGGTGACGGAGAGCCGGTCCTGGGCCCCGACGGAGACGTGTACCGTGACCTCAAGCGAGTCTGCCGCGACTGCGGCGCCGGCTTCATCTTCAGCGCGAGCACACAGCTCTCCCTGGCGGCGCGTGGCTTCTCCGGCACGAAGACGCGTTGCGAGCCGTGCGCGAAGCACAAGAAGAACCGCTACGGCTCCAAGCCGGACGGTGCGGCGACGGGCAGAGGTGGCGCCGGTGGCGCCGGTGGCGGTGGGCGCGGCAAGGGCGGCGGGCGAGGCAAAGGCAAGGGCGGCGGCCGAGGCAAGGGCGGCGGCCGAGGCAAGGGCGCGGCGAACGCCTCCAAGAGGGAGGTGCCCGGCACCGTCTCGTTTTAAATTGACTGGGTGTATAGGACGTCAGTCTCCGCATAGACGACAGAGAGGGCAAAATCCAAAAACAAAACCGCGTCTCCATAAATCTGTGTGACTACCAATAAAACACCTCCCCCACGTCTCAGTACTCTTCGACCGCGGTGTCGACGTGAGACGGGGGCGCGAGGCGCGTCCGGCGACTGTGGCGCATCGGTCGCGCTCCGTGTTTTCGCAGTATGTTGAAGAGCAAACGTCGAGTAATCCACGACCCTCGACCTCACGTCAAAGGGCGTCCCAGTTCGACTGCATCTCCTCCTCGCTGAGCAGCGGGCCCATCTTCGGGGCGCTCGATCGGACACGCGGTCCCCGAGACGAGTTGCTCTTGCTGGTGCTCCTAGCTGTAGTGGAGGCGCGGCCTGCGGTCCTGAGCGACATCGCTCTGGCGCCGCCGCCGCCGCGAGCCGCCCCTGTTTCTCTCCCCGTCTGCTTCAAGTTCGTGTTTCTCTCCGTTGGCGATGCCCTTCTTCCGCCGTCGGTGCTCACCTCTGCTGCTGCGAAGGGAGCGGGAGCCTTCTTCCCAAACGCCTCCTTCCAGCCTTCGCCTAGAACCTCCTCTGCCGGGCCCAGCGTGCAGCCACGGCTGTCGCAGACTAGGCCGCCCACCAAAAAATAGGTGTGGCTCTGCATCAACTCGCGTGCGGCCGCCTGCTCGCTTGTGAGGCTCACCTGGCTCCGCCCGCAGGTGCTAGGAGTTCTTGCGCTCTCCCCGATGTTGTCATGTGGCGATCCGGCAGACGAGAGAGGCGATCCGACAGGAGCAGGCCGACTCTCCGAGGCCCGTCCAACCTCACCTTCGACGTGCACACGCAGCGCTGCTGGCGGCCGTTGCACGCGGCCCTCGTTAATCAAAGAGGCGTAAAACGCGATCTCGTCGGGTTCGCTCACTGCCGCCGCTGTCAGCTCTGGAGGTCGTGCCTCTTCTTCGGCGGCAGAGCACTTCTGCGCCGCGACGACCTCCGCAAAGCTTGGCCACACCTCGTCGCTTGCTGCCGCACTTCTCCGCTCTCCCGCGCCAGCTCCAGGGTGGTCGCCAACGACAAGAGGAACGTGAAGCGTTCCCGCGCTCGTGCGAGCGAGGATTTCAACGGATGCGGCGGCGTGGCACTCTACTTCGATTGAAATGTCGCCGTCCTTCTCCAGCACTCCCAGGCCATCTGTCCCCAGCCCGCCGCAGTTGACGATGAAGGCAGAATGCATCGGCAATTCCAATCGGAAGACCAAATCTGCGCCAGAATCGTTGTGGAGCAGCAGCCGACGAGTCACAGGCTTGACGGCAACGTCAGCGGCACGGAAAAATAGCGCGGGAGGAGTGGCGTGGAGCCCGTTGTCGGGACCGGCCATACACATTGGGGCTGCGTTTTTGTGTGCGTGCTTGTCTGTTACGGTTCTGTTCCAGTCTCCGAACGGTCGCGCCCGTCACCCGCCCGCGGGCCCAAGTCAAAAATTGGCTTTCTTTTGGCGGGAATACCGAACAAGGTTCCCACCCACTCACAGAAATTACACAAAATCACAAAACCTTGCTTGTTCTATGGGGGGATTTAGATGAGAGAGAGAGATTTTTAGCCCCCCGCTACCCAGTCGCAGTCGTGCGACGTAGCGGGGGGCCACGACTACGTTTACGAAAACATAAGTTGTTGCGCGAGGTGTGAATTGTTCCGCCCCCAGAAGCCCCATTTCGCCTCGAGCCCCAGCAAATCTTTTGACGATGCACGCGCCCCAAAAGCGGCGGCAAAGGGCGGGTGACCGCAGTGCGTTCGCCGTTGCCTCTGAGGAATGGCCGAGGCCGGCGCGAAGGCTGCAGTCGCTGCGCTCAAGGACGCGACCCTGATCAAGTCCAAGAAGGCCGACTGGCGGCTCGTCGCCGCGGCGCAGGCCATGCTCCGCGGCGATCACCCAGATGAGTTCGCCGCGGCTGCGGCGATGGGCAAGCCGATAAAGCAGCGGAGGGAGGTCTCAAACTGGTTGGACAAGCTCCGCGAGCTGGAGCGGATGCGCGCGTCGCTGCGCAGCCAGCCCGGGGGCAGCGGATCGGCGGCGGGCAGCAGCTTTCTCGCGCAGGTGGGCAGCAGCCTCCTCGCACAGCCTTGCTGGATTGACGAGCATGCACCGGGCGTGCAGCAGCTGCGCGTGTCGGCGCCGGTCATCTCGCCCGGCAAGCAGCACGCGACGCGCTCGCTCAGCGCGGTTGTGACGACGCCGTTCGGCTCGAAGCGTCCGGCCAGCGCGACGGTCGAATACACGCTGCCACCCGACGGCGAGCCGGCGAGCGCCTCAAAGCGGCGCGGCGACCGGCACCGCAAGCGCGAGGAGCGCGCCATCAGGTCAATGGACTTCAGCGAAGCAGCGCAGACCCACGCCTGGGTACGGCTGCCAGTCGATGCGCCACCGTATGGGCTTTCTGCGGAGCTGCTGCTCAGTTCGGCTTGGATTACGCGGCATCTGACCCTGATCGAGCCGGGGAGCTTGGTGGTGGGCGAGCTGCAGCTCGTTGACGAGTTGACTGCTTTTCGCGAGATCCACGTGACGGTCGACGACGCCCACTTCCGCCCCTTGTGCGGATTTCCCGGATATTTATATCCGAACGTAGGCGATTTAGATGACTACCTCAAGAATCCGGTAGCCCCAGACGGGGAGAAGTGGCCGTCGTCGATGTTGGAGAGTAATTGCTGTGGTGCGCCAGTGCAGCTGATGACGATCACCTCCGACGTGAATGGGGTAGGGCGATCAACAGATGCTACGATGGTTGCTTGGCTGCGTCACGACTTCGAAAGTGATGGCTGGGACCACGTCGCCTGGGACTTGGTAGGACGCCACCAGGTCAGTGGCGCGGTGGCGATGGGACGTGTGCCTGAGACGTCGTATGAGTACCTTGCAAAGTTCTATGATGATTTCTATGGAGACAGAGCCACGTTGCGGCAAGACCAAGCCATCATATCATCTCTGACTGCGTCGAAGACCTGTGCTCAATGCAAGGGTGATGTGCCGGATGTTGCGGTGCGCTGGCGATGCGATGCGTGCGACTTTGATTGTTGCTTGGCGTGCGGCACCTCGCAGCAGGAGGACGGCCTTAGTACGGCGGTGGGGTATGATCTGCCTCCCGCGGCGGGAGAGTCCCAAGCCGAGAGCAATCGTCGCAGGGAGCGTCACCGCAAACGCGAGGAGGCAGCTATTCGCGATCTTCACAGGTGGTGCGTGGGAGGTCGCGTGTGCGCGTGACCGTGCTCCGTGGTGTATTTATTTCGAGTTTTGGGACTTTTTGTGTAAATGTAGCGGGGGGCCCCGCCGGAGGCTGGTTACTGATAGCAATACCAAACAACTCTAACACTCACACGTAATTTGGGGCCTGGAGCCCTGTTCACGCGCGCGCGAGACGTGCAGACAGGGTTGCCAGGTGAGAGCGAATGGCGCGGTTCACGCCTCGCACAACAGAGAGAGAGAGATGCGCTCTGCATGGTGGGACATAAAAGAGAGCGAGTTTTGTTTTAGATGTGCCAAGAGAGGGGTAAATATTTCCCTAATAAATAAATAAATAACACGGGCACGCCAAACGAGGGGTGGGAGAAGGACAGGGGGTTTGTGCCGCGTCCCGTGCCCCCGAGTTCATTTTATACACTCCCCAGGACACCAGGACAGGGGGTCCCCACCTGCACGAGCAGGATCTTGTAAGGACGATCAGGGACACAGGGGAAGGGGAGCGGGGAGCGCATCGCGACACGGAGGGGGGCTGGGCGGACTCAAAGCCGGTGAGTGTGCCAGTCCGCGCCAGTCCGCGCCCTTGTCGTGCCAGTGTGCTGTTAGAGAGGCTTGTGTTCAAGAATTCTTCTTTCGCTGCCTCGCATCAAAGCTTGAGCTCTGCTGAGAGCAGACATCGAAGCGGACGGTTCCGCACAATTTTGCCGACCCCGATGCTCGCCCTCTGCCAACAAGCCCTCGCGCTCCGCTGCGGTCCGCCCATGCTGAGCACCGCTCGGCCGACGCCGGAGCCCGCTGCCGCCGCAGCGGCGGACGGCGGAGCAGTGCTGCAAGGGGAAGCTGCCAAGCAGTGGCTTGCTGAGCGCGGCATCGTCCGGCACGACATGGCGCCGCAGGACCACGACCGCGCGGGGTACCGCTCGGAGCCCGTGCGTCCCAAGGTTGGCGGGGACATGCCGGACGGGCCGCGGCCGGGCTGGTTCCACGTGCCAGCGCCGGGCGGCTCGGAGACGCGGTACGCGGAGCTCAAGGAGTCGCTAGAGGCGCGGCGCGCGGACGCAGGCGGCACCAAGCTGGCCACCGTGTGCGAGGAGGCCCAGTGCCCGAACATTGGCGAGTGCTGGAACGGAGGCACTGCCACGATCATGCTGCTCGGCGCGCGCTCTCTGCCTCTGCCTCCGCCTTTGCCTCTGCCTCTCCTCTCTCCCTCTCTCCCTCTCTTCCTCTCTCCCCGGAGCCCGAGAGAGAGAGCCTACCTCTCCCGCGGGAGCCGCTCTGCCCACACCCCACGACCGAGCAAGACGCCTCGCCGCGCCGCTCCCCTCCCACAGGCGACACCTGCACGCGAGGCTGCAAGTTTTGCGCCGTCAAGACGGACGCGGCGCGCGAGAGCCTCCGGACGGAGCCGCGGAGCACCGGGAAGCTTCTAGGAACCTTCTGGGAACCTTCCCCCTAGGCGCCCGAGCCTCCGGACGAGACGGAGCCGTGGAACACCGCCGACGCGG